GGGGGGGGGGGGGGGGGGGGGGGGGGGGGGGGGGGGGGGGGGGGGAGAGAAGATGGAGGAGAGGCTGAGATAGAGGAGGAAGGAAAGGGAGGAGGGAGGAGAGGGGGAAGGGAGGAAGTGGGAGAGGGGGAAGGGGGAGGGGGAGGAGGGGGAGGGGGAGGGGCACTGCAGGTACAAGTGTAGCTTCTTTCCAGCCCTGGAAGTCACATGATCACCAAGTATCCTCTTCCTTAGGAGAGTCCCAGGGGCCATACCACAGTGCAGAGGAGGGAACCAGACTGTACCTTTCTGTGGGAGAGGTGATAAAGGACAGGACACATTTTAACAGCTAACTGTGCCCTGCCACTCTCCCCTTGACTGACACCTGGGAATTCAACGTACCCAGCATCGTGTCGGGGGAGAATGAGGGATGCTTTAAATACGCTTGGAAATACTTCTTTCTTCAGATCCCACACTTATTCCTCTCCCTCTCCTTCTCTCCGGCCTGTCCATCTCTGGTTCTTGGGGTGGGGGACCCTCCGGACGTCATTCCTCACTTGAGACACGGAGCAACCTTGCTGTCGATGTTCCTTTGCCGGCATTCCACCACTTTGCCATTTCCCGGGCCAAGAACCACGCTCAACCCGTCGTGGATCATCATTGATCATCTGAGCCAACAACCAATGACTGAGAGAAGTAGGTGTCTCAAGACCCCAGCTCCCGCCCCGCTTGGTGGAATAGGTTTGAGGTGCCCATTCTCCACTGTTTCCCAGAGTTCTCTGGCAAAGTTGAGCCCAGGGGAAAAGAGTGATTCCCTGATCCATAACCCAGGGTGGACTCTTTGCCCTCCCCGTCTGGCTTCCCCGAGGATCACTAGGTCTCTGCTGGTCTTCCCAGGATGGCTGCTTGCATCAGAATCCTGACCTCAGCGTCTGCTCCCCGTGGGAGCCAAACTGTTTACAGCTGGAAGGTGGGGCTCCCGGTACACTTCCCACACGTCCAGAGGTGGCACCCTTCACCGCCCTGCTCCCAGGAGAAACGCTGACGTGGAAAGCCTAACACTTTTCTTAGATCCATTGGAGAATCGAGGACCCAGCAAACGGTCACCCCCCAAAATCCAGATAAGCAGATGAATGTAGGGTATCAGAACCAAATCACTGGTAGGAACCCTTTAATGGCGATTTTGATAAATGGCACGAGGTTGAGTGTGTGAACCAGCTTGGAAAGTTGGAAACTTCTCGGGGACCAAGTCTTTGGAGGAGCCTCCCACCTGCATGGTTCACTTCTAGGTGTCTAGCACGTTCTGAAAGATCAAAGAAAAATATCCTCACGCTTCAGGAAACACAGGGAGGGAATAACCACTTTTAAGTACACTCAGGGGGCGGGAAATGAGATTAGGAAATACACCCAAAGCGTTCTCCTAACAAAGGCCTTCCCTCCAGAGGAAAGTACTCTATCAGAGCCTTATCTGACCCGAGGAGGGAAATGAGGTTAAAGCCAGCGCTCCGTAGCCTTCCTGTCTCAAGTGAGGCAAGAAAAAAAAATGGTCGAAGAAATGATCTTGAAGTCATAGGCCTGGGACTCAGGCCCACTGAGATGGCGAGACCTAATTATATCACAGAGTCTTTCCCTCCCCAACCCCCAACCACCTCATTAACAGGCTCCGGAATAATTCCAGCCGGTGGTGAGTGCGAGAGCCACAGACGGACTTTATTTAAGAAGGAGTCCTTCAGGAAACCCAAACAGAGAGGGGAGGGGAGGAGAAACAAGGAGCAAGCCGTAGCCTCTGACATCGCTGGCCCCAGCAAACAGGGGTCCCAGCCCAGTTCCTAGCCAGAGGGTCCTAAAACCTCCCACTAAAATCCTAACTATCTCAGTTCCTATTACTCAAGTCACCACAACTGGATTTCAGAAAAAAAGAAAATAGATTAAAACCTGCTAACAGGCAAGACAGAAAACATAGTCTGCGGAGAAAACTGCAACCAGGCCCAGACTTGGGGGGTGGGGGGAGCTGTCCTGAAGCTTGGGTCAAAGTAAATTATGTCTGTGTTTTAATTTGTGTCACCATAAATTTACACAAGGGACCTTTGTTCAGCTGCCCGCGCGGGTCAGGGGCGGCAGTGGTGTGTATGTGTCATAAAAATATCTCAAGGAGAAGAAAACAAGAAAAGAACATTGATAATTGAAATGGTAACAGCTGAGAATTGTCCAGATGAATGACAAACATCGATCCAGAGGTCCAGGAAACCCAAAGAAGACCGTGCAGGAAAAGTACCCAAAATGTCTCCACCCTAAATATCATGTTTAAAGCTACAGAAAATCAAAAAGAAGGCAAATAAAACTCAATCACACCTAAAAACGGCTTTCTTAAAAAGGAAACACTTGTCTAGGTCAACAGGAGCGAATTATTCCTTTTTTTTCTTTATTTTTTTAAAGGTTTATTTATTTCTGCTATCAAAGAACAGAATTATGACAGTGGAATTTAACAATCCTAATTGGCTTCATTTTACATTTTAAAATCAGGTAACACTTCATTCCATAAAACAGAATCAGTTTTCCTATGAGCCAAGCATTCAGCAAAAATAATTTGATGAGTCAACATCAGATTATTTGTTTTGCTTACACAAAATAAGGACAAGGGAACTTCACTATTTCGCCAGTGGAGAATGGCTGCTCTCCCCCCAATCCAGATTTCTCTGGGAGGACCAGATGTGTCAGCTTGGTTTGATTGACTCCATGTTGGTTTTTTATTTTTTTCTCCCCTGGAATATTGTCTCTGTTGGAAAACTGGCTTCACAAAGAAGGTGGCAGCAGGAAAATTTCAGAATCCAAAGCTTAAAAATAAGTCTTGGGCAGTGTGGGGTTATTTTCTGTCTCTGGGGAAGGGGGGGGATCATGCGGTGTCCGAGGCCTGGGGACAGGCAAAGTCCCCAGCCGCCCATCCAGGAGATGTCACTCTCAGTAGCGTCTGGTGTCCTGACCTTTGCTCGCCCAGGATGACGGTGGGTAAGGAGCAGCAGGTCACAGGGGCCTCCTGACCCTCTGGGAGACAGAGCTCTCCCTGGGCAGACCCTGGGGCTGAGGGTGAGCGGCCAGGGGAGAATCATGTCAACGACTGTCCCCGCCTGTGGTCCCTGAGGTCCTGGGGCAGGGATGCAGGAGGCAGCCAGTGTCACGAGACGTCCCCGTCCCCAGCCAGGCCGGGCACCTGGTTAAGTGAGGAGAAAGATGGTGTCCCTGTGCCTGGTCTCACTTCCTCCCCGGCACCGCCTGGAAGGGGACGAAGTGACACCCAGGGGACGGTCGGGAAGTGAGGCCACCGTCACATTCAAGTTCAGGGTGTGACAGCTCAGTCTGCCCCCCAACAGGCCCCATGCTCAGCTCCCCTTCATGGGCCACGTCCCTTGTGAGAGTCACGCCCTGCCCTTTACAGGCACAAGGACCCAGAAGTTCCAGGGACACATCCATGTTTAGGCCCCCGGATCTGGAAGTTCCTCAGGCTCACGTCCATGTTTAGGCCCCCGGATCCGGAAGTTCCTCGGGTGCATGTCCATGTTGAGACTCTAGGATTCCGAAGTTCCTCAGGCGCACGTCCATGTTTAGGCCATAGCAACTGGAAATTCCTCAGGTGCACGTCCAGGTTTAAGACCCTGGATCCAGAAGCATTTCAGGCGTCCATGTTTAGGCCCCCGGATCCGGAAGTTCCTCGGGTGCACGTCCATGTTTAAGCCCCAGGATCCGGAGGTTTGTCAGGTGCATGTCCATGTTTAGGCCCCTAGATCCGGAAGTTCCTCGGGTGCACATCCATGTTTAAGCCCCAGGAGCGAATTATTTCAAGTGTTGAAAGAAACCCCACCAACTTAAAATTTTATATCCAGCAAAATTGTCCTTCAAAGGTGAAGAACAAATAAAGATTTTCCCAGACAAATAAAAACAAAGGGAATTTGTTGCCAATAGGTCCGCCTTCTAAGAAATGCTTTAGAGAGACAGAAAAGGACCTGGGTCAGAAACTTCTGTCTACATAAGAGCAAGATCTGAGAACTAATGAAATAATGTGGAATAAAAAATTCTAAAAAAATTAATTGATCTAATCACTCTAAATTCAAAATAATAATAATAACAGCAATACATTGGGCAGTTACAGCAGATGGATAAATGAAATGAATGGAATAAAATGAATGGGATAGGGATGGGAAGGAGGAATGGGAACTAGTTGGTTATAAGGCTCTTGTACACTCTGTGACCTGATAGTGTTATTTGAAAAATGGTTTCAGATGAGGTTGTTAACAAATATCGCAAACTCTACAACAACCACTGAAAATTGTCAGTACTATGTGTTTTATCCACTGATAAACTAAAAATCCATCTTAGATGTTTCTTTCTCAAGTATACTTCATTTGTTGTATTCAAAAGCAAAACCCTAGAGCAGGAGACTTTACCCGGTCCTCAGACACTGAGCCATCTTCGCCTTGACTAAGGAGGAAGTGACGAAATTCATAAATCTCCTTATCTGATATGGTCATATGAAGCCAATCATGAGGATTATGCTTCTTAAAGTATTTCTTTGAGTTTTAAAATGTTCTTTAGTTGTAGATAGACAGTTGTAGATGTCTTTATTTTTATGTTGTGCTGAGGATTGAACCCAGCTCCTCACACGTGCTAAGCAAGTGCTGTACACTGAGCCACAACCCCAGCCCCAAGCCACAACTCCAGCTTCTTAAAGTGTTTCTTGATAAGATATTTCAGACCTCTTTAAGAGAACTGTTTCTCAGAAACAGCTGTGATTTTAATCTAGGAGCATTCAACGTGAATAACAGTCCTGAGATTTCCAGGGGTTCTATTGCCTTCAAACTTCTCCCATATGAGTTTTAAATAGGAATCTATTTTAAAATAGGAAAATGCAAAACTGGGAAATAAAACCTTGACTATTCACTAGGGAAGGTACCCAAATTTCCAGAATCAAAAAATTCCATTTTTAGGGCTGAGGATTTAGCAAAGTACTTGCCTAGCATGTGCCGGGCCCTGAGTTCAATCCCTAGCTCTGAAAAAAAAAAAAATTCTCCTGGATGACTCAGGTCCAAATTAAAATTTCAGAATGATCTCTTAGACTTCTTGCCTTTCTGTAATGCCATGCTGAGAATGATCAGAGAGCAAGAATTGTGCAAACTGAAACCGAAATGTTGAGAGCACACTGAATCACGTCAAATGTTCAATTAAAACTAGAAGGGGCAGAAAAAGAGAAGATTGTTTTTCAAAAACAGAACAAAAAAAAATGAAATGAATAGAAAACAATTTCCAACATAGTAGATATTAGCTCAGTTATGTCAATAATCACTTTAAATGTAAATGGTCTAAATACACCAAGTAAAAGTCAGAGACTGCTAGAGTGGATTTAAAAAAAAAAAAAAGACCCAACTAAATGTTAATAAGAAACTAAGGGTAAATATAAAGGCACAGTTGGATTAAAAGTGCCAGGAGGGATATACCAAACTAAGAGTAATCAAATGCTTCTCCAATAAAAGTCTTCAATGTAGATGTAGCTAAAAAATCAGAGAGTGTCATGGTTTAGGTGTGAAGGGTCCCCTAAAAGCTCATGTGACAGACAATGCAAGAACATTCAGAGGTGGAGAGATTGGGTTATAAGAGGCTTAACCCAATCAGCGAGTTAATCCCCTGATGGTGGGTAGGGTGTGGCTGGAGGAATGGGCATTGGGGGCGTGGCTTTGGGGTCTATATCTGCGTCTGGGGTGTGGACTCTCTCTGCTCCCTGATCATCCTGTGAGCTGCTTCCCTCTGCCACCCACCCTCTTCCACCGTCATGTTCGGCCTCACCTGGAGCCCCAGGAATGGAGCCTGCTGACTGGGGATGGCGACCTCTGAAACCTTGAGCCCTCAAATAAACTTCTCCTCCTTAAAATTGTTCTTTCGGGGTCTTTTTGTCACAGCAGCAAAATAGCTGACTAAAAGAGGAGAGTCTAAATAACATGAAGCAAAACCGGATAGACCTTAAGGGGAGATAGACAAATCCATGATTATTTGGATAAGAATATTATTGAATGATTGGAAGTTGGAGACTTTGACGCCTCCTTTTGAGTCTGACAGATCCGGGAAGGCAGAAAAATCAGTAAGGATGCAGTTGAGCTGAACAACCTGTCAATCAACAGGTTCTAATTGACATTTGTAGATTCTGAATCCAACAATAGCAGCGCATGCCTTCTTCTCAAGTTCTCATGGAACATTCGACAAGCTAGACCATGCTCTGGTGTAAAAAAAAAAAAAAAAAAAACTTAACAAATTTAAAATATTAGAAACCATACCAAGAATGCTCTCAGGCCACAATGATAATAAACTACAAATCAATCACAGAAAGATAGCTGGAAAGTCCCTAAATATTTGGAGATTAAAAACCTATTTCTAAGTAATAACACACGAAGCAGAGACGAAATAAAAATGTTAAAACATTTTAACTGAGTGAAAATATAGCCTCTCCAAATTTGGGAGATCTAGCAAAAATGGTGCATAGGTAAAATTTGTAGCGTGGAATGCATATACAATAAAAGGAGAAAGTGCTAGAATCGAAGATCTAAATTTCCATCGAGGAGACTAGAAAAAGAAGAGCTAAAAAAATATTAGAGCAGAAATCAACGAAATCATGCCAGGCACGGTGGCATGGTAATTCCAGTGGCTAGGGAGGCTGAGGCAGAAGGATTGTGAGTTCAAAGCCAGCCTCAGCCAAAGCGAGGCCCTAAGCAACTTGGTGAGACCCTGTCTCTAAGGAAAACACAAAATAGGGCTGGGGGTGTGGCTCAGTGGTCCAGTGCCCCTGAGTTCAATCCCCGGTACCTCCAGCCCCCCAAAAGTAGTAACTTGTCAAAAAGGAAAGGTTTCATTGATGAAATCTACCAAACACTTAAGGAAGAAATAATACCATTTTTTTTTTTTTTACCATCCCTTCCAGAAAATAGAAGCAGAAAGAATCTGACTTGATTCTGAGACCAGCAGTACATTACTACTGAAACCCCAAACCAGTATCTACAAGAAAGGAAAACTACAGA